GCACCAGAGGATAAAACACTCTAGTGTGAGGAAGAAAATAAAGCTGTGTGTTTCATCTGTATTTCCCTTACGTTGCCTACACCTCTTTCTGGTACTTAGCATCTAACATGTATAGGCCTGAGGAACTAAACTCTACCAAATTGAACAAGTATTGTTTTACATTTTCTACAAGTCATTGCAATTAGCCTCTAATTGCAATTTGATTGATTTCCATTTTAAAAAGGAAAGTTTCGGCCTTTGACATGATCATTCACTCCTCCTTAGCACGGTTCCTTCATGTGGTTTCCAAGAGAGCACACTCCATTGATTTTTCGTTGGCTTATTCTTCTTGGTCTCCTTGCCTGGGTTTCTTCTCCTCTCTCTAACTTATTACCTCAGAGTGCCCCAGGGCTTAGTCCTTGGTTCTCTTCTCTAACTACATTCACTTAATTGTTGACTTCATTCAATTGTGAGGTTTATATACATCAATGTCAATGATCCCCCAATTTATACTTCCATCCCTGAGCTCTTTCCTACACTCCACATTCATAAATCCAGATGCCCACTTAGCAAATAAATTTCATATGTTCACATTTGAACCTCCTCTTAACCCTAACTCAGGCGGCCGAAAACCTATTTTTGACTCATTTATTTCTATTTTATCGCACATGCAATCATCAGACATATATATTTGTTCCACCTCCAAAAGAGATCCAGAATTTGGAGACTTCATGCCACTGACTTTCCAATCACCCAGGTCCAGGCTACCATCATGCCTCTCCTGGATAATTTGTAAAAAGTATCCTTGCTTCACCAACACTCACTCCTCAGTTCTCAGAGTTATAAAACATGAGTCAGACCCTGTCATCCCTCTGCTTAGAATCCCCAGGAGTCCACATCTCACTTATAGAGAAAACTGAAGTCCTTGCATTCGCCCATACAGCCCTAAGTAATCTCCCTGGCCAATCCCCTGCCCCAACCATGTCTGCTTAGTACTGTCCCCTAAACAAGTTCCAGTTCTGTATGGATGCTCTTCCATCACATATTGGGTGACTCACTTCTTTCTTGTATTTATTGAAATGTTTTTAGGGAGACTTACCTGGATTACTTTTTCAGTTTTCCAAACTCTTTCTCACCTCTCCCAAGGATTATAATCCTTTCCCCCTCTATTGTTCTACGTGTGTCTTTCTCAGAGCACTTAGCACCATCTAATTCAGTACCTAAATTAGCACATTATTATTTTTATTGATTATTGTGTGTCCTACTAGAATATAAGATTTTCAAAGTCAACCAATCTTTATTTTGTTCACTGATGTTTTCCATGTGTTATTACAGTGTCAGTGATGAATGGTAAAGAGACATTTTGGCCACAAAAGTGACCACTGTTAGATGAAGTAGACGTATGAGATCACCTTTTAAATCTTAATATTGGGATTGGTCATATTTAAAATTACGTTTTCACCTTCATTCAACAACAAAAAAACAGAGACCTGCTCTGGTGCTAGCACTAGATGCTGAAGGAAATACCACAGAATATGAGAGGTATTATAGTGGTTGCATTCAGGGAGCTCACATTTTAGAGAAAGAGGAAAAAAACACTCCCCTAAAATAAAAGATGTGAACAAGAGATAAAGAACAAGCAAAATAGTATGCCAGGACCAAAATTAGAGGGCTCGCATTGTCATTTATTCAATTTTTCTTGTTATAACTCTCAATAAGTGTAATTTTAGGATCTTCTGCAATCAGATGAACAAAATCGAAATAAGAAATCTGAACAAACACACATGTAGGAAGTGAGTAGTTCCCTTCTAATAGTTAATACCAAGCATTAATGCAGTTGGTGGAGTTGGAGATAAGAATGGACTCTGAGTATCCTTGCACTCAGGGAAAAAAGTACAGTACATTATGGGCTTTCACTTATGGAAAATGATCCATTCCATATAACAATTATGAGTATGACTGGAACAATTCTGTTCTTGGAGAGTAATATGCTGATATAATCCCTGAAGACTTTTGTAGCTTTAAGATTTTAAGTCAAAATCCACAGAGAACTCAAACATACTAGCAAAAAGAGAACAAGTGATCCCCTCTCAGGGTGGGCAAGGGACTTGAAGAGAAACTTCTCTGAAGAAGACAGGCACATGGCCTACAGATATATGAAAAAATGCTCACCATCCTTAATCATCAGAGAAATGCAAATCAAAACTACTTTGAGATATCATCTAACACCAGTAAGATTAGCCCATATCACAAAATCCCATAATCACAGATGCTGATGTGGTTGTAGAGAAAAGGAAACACTTCTACACTGCTGGTGGGATTGCAAACTAATACGTTCCTTTTGGAAAGAGATCTGGAGAACACTTAAATAACTAAAAATAGACCTGCCATTTGATCCTATAATTCCTCTATTAGGTATATATCCAGAAGGTCAAAAATCACACTACAATAAAGATATTTGCATCAGAATGTTCATTGCAGCCCAGTTCATAATTGCTAGATCATAGAAGAAGCCCAAGAGCCCATAGATCCATGAATGGATCAATAAATTGTTGTATATGTACACCATGGAATACTATGCAGCCATTAAGAAAGATGG